TGACATAAACCAGCCCATTAACACTATTTTTATCTGACCTTGGCTTTACTTCTATTATAAAAAATGCCTAGCATTGCCATCAGTAACTCCATGATCAGTACAAAATATTCTTCATCATAACGACCAAGCAGTATCTTAAACGTGCTTTTTCAAATACAGAGCGCCTCTTCATATAACGCGCCCTTATGATGGTAAACAGCTAATTTATTTGACTGTCGTGCTTATAGATATTGAAAGAAAAGCCATAAACACCCTAATGGCCTCAAAGACAGTAAGAATGTCGTAAAGCCTATCAAAGCAATAACGACTCAGTAATCGACGACCATTTACATTTTGTTTAAGAAACTAGGCGGGTTGTGAGATTCGTCAAGTAGTAGAGTGTCATAAGGATTATTATAAAATGTCTGAGAAGGGTATTTAGCAAAAGGTGAAGGTACATACAAAAAAAAAACAAAAGGTGAAGGTAAACAGCTTGGGGGAAAGAATAGCGTCACTTTTTAGAGATAGTAGATGATTGTCATGACGTACATTAATTTGATTGGTGAATAAAGGTGTCATCGACAGAAAAAACTTTTTTTTCTACTTCAGCTTTTTATTACAGGGTCTGGGCAGTTTCTGAGAGAGACCCCACTTTTTTTTATTTACAAAATCTCTCTGCTAACGGCTTCCTTGCGAAATAACTCACGTTTACTCCACATTGTATTTGTCAATGCTGTGAGTGAGGTATATTAAACTGAACATATGGCATGCCTACATTATTTTGTTCAAAACTAAACTTTCTAGAACCTTTATACAAGACATGATTGCCCATCCAAGATTTTGAAATTAACGTAATTACATGGAAGATTTATGGCAAAATTTTTCGTAACAATTTGCGCTGAATATGTCAAGGTTTGTAGTGTCTGATAGTGTATGCACAGTTGCTGAGAGCACCTCGTCAGGCTGTTTTATCTATATTCCTCGATCCAGCCTTAAATTAATTTTTTTCGAGCTTAATAAAACTGTACTGTCTGTAAGACCTTTAAATTATGCGTCGTTCACTCAATTAGTTATGTAGCTCTGAGGGCCGCACAATCCCTTTCATGTTTGAATTACCAATGTCTCAACCACTGTTGGACAGATAAAATTCGCGACAAGAGGGATGTCATTATAATCAACATACTGTTTATGTTTGGCCAAATCAGGACAGTGTCCCGTTATATGACCATACGTAAGCACACACACACACAGATGTAGTGGATACAAGCATCGTGTTTTATAGATTAAAGATACCAGTTGTTTCCTCGGTACGTCACTGCACAGTCCATATAAATAGCGGTTGAACTGTTCTTTAAGTTTATTTCATATGACAACATGACCTTATATACTATAAATATCGGAAGTATGGTATGAAAATTCCTTTGCTATTTTCTTATGCTGTGTCATTTTAAAAGTGTTTAACATCCTAGGATGCTACTGATATACTTATATATTCGAATTGTATCCTCAAATAATAACCCATTGATGACTCGCGAGTTATCTTATAAATTCAAAGTTACCGCAAAATTACATAGATTTCATGTGCATAGTTTAAATCTTGTTAGTTAATTACACTTTATACTGTCGCTTATAAACATTAAAAAGTGTTGCAACCAAATAATATGGGATCCATTATGTTGAATATTTATATTCAAAGCCATATAAACAGAAGTTAACGTAAAAATAATATTTCAAGAAAATAAAATGTTAAGTATAAAAAATTGGTTTATCAAGTCCAAATGATGATCTACTAATAATTAAAACGGTATCAATAACATAAGTAGATGCAGAACGAGTTTTTCTATTTAATAAATCCAATTGATAACATAAATATTAGCTTTGTATGTTGAGTTAATAGGAAACTTGCGATTCTAAAAACTTTATGCATCGTATACACCTTAATTACGATAAAGACAACATGCTGGCAATTTTTTTCAAGTTAAAGATTTTAATTGTGCAATTGTATTATGCTAATTGTTATGGAATATGTATGGTCTTTTAAATTTATGTCCTAGTACATACAAAAGAAAAAGTATCAAGTTCTTGAAGAGATTTTAATGCAATTCGTATTAAACTTTTAATTAATTTATCTCTTACCAAAAGTTTTATATTTAGGATATAGCTTTCATTTAATATATTGTCAGTTTTAAAGTGTTGCTATTGTTTTGAATGGCATTGATTTATTAATATCATTGCAAATCAAATATTCGTAAATAGCGATCTGAAACTATTCCATAAAGTGATGCAATTTATTTTAATAAGAAAGTCTACTGACTGTATAGATATTACAACCAGTATTTTTCTTTACAGTTACTTAAAACTAGATGTAGCTTACAACTAAAGGTATGATATAGCCACATAGCTATTGGATTTATTAAATAATTGAGACCTTTGTCAAATCCATTGAACACTTGTTGTAAAACATGAAACTACCTCAAAAGAGTGTTCTGACATATCACTGTTGTAGACTTTAATTTTGTAATTTAATACGACAGACTTTTTTTAAATGGATGAATCTAGATAAAACCAGCGGTGTGCTATAATTGCTTGTAGCTTATTTTATAATATATATTATATTTTAAAATTGTTTAACATTATAAAACCACATTCATTCCAAAGAACATTTTTCATCCTTAATTTTTCAAAACTAATTTATTTAACTTCTACAACATCACCGTCAGCACCACCGTCATCATTCCCATCTTCGTCTGCGCCTTCATCAACCAAGTCGACATCGTCATCGAGTTCTTCTTGCTCCTCAGCAATCCTGGTCTCGTTGTTGCTTCAATAATGAACCAGGTGGTGATCTGTAAAGATTTTCCACCTGGCGTTGACTTCTATAGCACGTTGAAGGATTATCCAAGCAGCAGTTCCTTCAACGTGCTTTTTTATCGCCGAGTCTAAATGCTCTTTCTCCTTGACAATACCATGGTCAAGCCAAAAGATGTCTCGCTACATTGATTTTAAAGTTATTACTATCATTATTATCATCAAATAAATAATCTATACTTAATATACCTGTAATCGGATTCGTTCTTCTTTCAAGCTTTTCCATCTTAGCCAAAGCGAGACATCTTTTGACCAATTCATATCCCAAAAGCCGTTCTCCCTTTCCAATACAAAGTCCAAGGTGACCAACTGTATATTATCTATTAAAAACGTTGGAGCTTCGTTATACTTCTAGGTAAGTAAGAAAATTCATGTTAAACCATACCTCCGTACGGGCTGTTAATCAGCTCCTGGTTAGCCGCGTTATACACGGAGATAACGTCAGTCACCTGGGACTTCTGCTTTCTCATAGCTTCTTGAAGCTTTGCAGCCTCCCGAGTCCCTAAGCAAATAATATAGTTAAGTGATTGGTAATAAATTAAATACTAAACTACGTACCGATATGGCCGCTATAAAGCTTATCCCCAAAGCCAAAGTAGACTTGAACGTTACTTCTCAAAATATCTCGATAAAATCCCTCTTTGACCTTGAGAAATGCCAACCATTGGGACTCGGCAAACTGGAAATATTCGGGTTCCAAGAATGTTGGTCTTTCAGAGACGTTACGACCGGCAGCCCTCTCCACATCACAAAGATACTTTTCAATCTTAGGTAACTCGCTGCGAAAGTAGGACCTACCGGTGGAGCTGATGACAGAATCGTTTTCGTTACGACCAAGGATGTTCCTAAGAATCAAGATAAAATAGTGAATATGTTAAAAATTAAAAAAGATTAAATAATAGTAAGACTTACTTAAAGCTAAGATAGACGCTTAACAATAATGGAAAAGTATGCTCGTCCACATAGCTTTTCGGGAGTACGTTTGATAAATCGTACCCGGAACATCCTCGCTCCCCAAGATTAGCCACTTGCTTGGCGTAACGCTCCTCAACATCCCGGAGATGTTCAACAGACCACTTCCCAACCTTCTTATCAACACTAGACTTCTCAACAAATAGTCGTCCAATCTTTTCCTTTAAGATTTTCGCTAAGAAAAAAAGTATTCCATTGGTTTAAGTACTAGTATAATATTGTCTTTAAAAAAATTGACGTACCCAGGTTGTGCTTGATAGCTGTGTTCCTGTACTTAACAGCCATGTACAAGACATATCGCCGGTTCTCGGCCATCATGGGTTTGGTCATGGTAATGTATTTGGCCAGATAAGACCAAAGTCTTTCCATGCCTTCACCGTCAGTCAATCCAAAGTTTGCTATGTATCTCGGGTTGTACTTGACCTGACAGTGCATTACATGGGCGTAGGCATGGAAGACAGACAGACCCAAGCGGTCAGAACCGGCGATTCCGGGGAAGTTCAGCTAAAACTTATAGATTAGTGATATGATAATTGTCAATATTCGATATAACATACCTTGATAGATGGCTCCAGTTTGCATACAATGTCATACATGACATGTAAAGGAACCTTTCTACCAAGCTGGTTCGCCACAGAGGCTATAGCAGCCAATGGATACTTAAACCTAAAATAGATTAATAAATATCGTTTTGTTAAAAAAACAGAGAAAAGCGAATGTTACCCTCCCCCGGCGTCCATGTCTGCAAGTTGGAACACAGTATCGTGTCTTGCACAGCCACTGCCAAAGATACCTTGAACAGGATAGATAGCCGAGGTGCGGTTCTGGTGGACCATGGCTTGAAATGTACGTGGCTCTCCCACCGTGGCCTTGACGGGCAGGCCCTTGTCGGCGGGGGTCTCCTTGGCAGTGATATTCTTCGTGGTGGTGGCGGTGGTGTCCTTGGTAATGCTCTTGCTGGCCTTTCCGGACTATATGAAAAAAAACTAAATACAAATTGATGCATCGAACGATGATATCCCATGGTTATTAGTTACCTGCTCAGACTTGTCAAACCGTTTGATCAGGGATTGATCCATCCACATGGTCTTATACCCACTAAGACCAGAAATCTTGGATAATTCGTTATCCTGAGCCAATGATTTGGTACCCTTTAAACGGAAGTTTGCATCCATCATCATGAACTGCTTGTCGTTGGCATTTACTGAATTAGCCTGATGAGTAAGTCAAAAATTCAAAGTTAATAATGGTTTTTTTTGCAAACCTCAGGACAAGCAGGACATGATGTGGAAACTTCCCCTATAACCTGCTGTTCAGACAACTCAATCATCCTGTTGTACATAAGGATGCTATTGGAGCATCCTTCAGCCGAGATACTACTCTATATGAGGGTTTAGAAAATGTAGCACACAACTGTTTATAATCGTACCTTCTCGGTTCCTACAGCCCAGTCCTTATAGAACTCTGCAATCTTCCCAGCAGAGCCAGCAAAGATGTTTCTGAGCTTGATGAAAAGATCACAGAGACTAAAATGTACTGCTCCTGATGGTTTGATGGGCGACAAAGGAAACATTCCTACCTCTACCAAAGCAATAGGCAATGTCTTGCACAAGGAGCAGTACGCAAATACTTCGTTTTCTTTAATTCCTTCAACCAACTTTGCATAAGTATGACGAATATTGAATGAAGACTTCACTTACCCGAAACAAAAAAGAAATTGATCTTCACCAATTTGACAAAGTCATGAGAGCACTCACAAGAATTACTTAAGCCGGGACCAACAGCCATCTTGTTGGGCATGCCTCCATTACTACTCAAAAAAGCCAGGTACTTTTTTGGCAAGTACTTCATCAAGTCCTTCCAAGCAGCAAAAAGCTTTTCTTTTTTTCAACCGATACTCGTTCTGCTTAGCGGCGGTATCTTGGATAATAACAGTGCTGTTAGTTACAGACATGTTGGTGACAGCTTCAACCTCAATCGCAATCTCAGATTCACTGGCAGGAACTGATTGTTCGAACTGAAACGATTCTTCAAAGTTGTCGTTCCATTGGTCATCGAAATACTCGTCACCGCCACTACAATCATCTTCTTGCACATCAACAGTCTTGCGAACGGCCGCATTCTTCTTAAGATCGTCAAGCATCGCAAAAGCGGCAGCTTCTTCTTTGTCTGCAGCGTTCACCAGCTCTTGTCGCATACTATTCAGCAATGCGATGTCTTGATGGGCCAAACCCAAATCTGATCTATTTTTCTTCCCTGTAGGTAATTTAACTGTAGAGGGTTTACGTTTGGTACGTGTAGGTGCTTTACGTTTGATACGTGTAGGTGCTTTACGTTTGATAGGTGCCATTATAAGTGTACTGTAAAAAAATGAGAGAAAGAGCTCAAACCTCAAAGTGTGCCCGGGCAGTAACAGAAATATCTTTGTGACGACTTAATTTTTCGATTGTTAAATTGTATTTTATTTCGTGTTTTACGTACATTTAGGCAGCACACAAAATTAATATACCTAAAGTTAGCCCAAGACGGAGATAAAAATGATAAATTTTTTTCGAATGTAGGTGGGTGAGGTGAAGAATTCATGAAAAATAAAAAGATAAAAAATAACGATGAAAGAAAAAAATAAGAATAGGCGATCAAGATGATCATTGTGTTCGTTGCTGCTGCTGAGATTGTTGAGATGAGCGAGTAGCTTGAGTCATGACTCTTTGGGAACACTGTCTTGTGTCATGTCTCGGTTGTCTACAAGTTCCACAAAGCCTTGTTCTTCTTTCAGCGTGTTCGAAAGCGGAGAGATTTCTTTTGTTTAATGAAGTATCATTTCTTCTCCCAGTAGTACCGGTAGGTCAACCTCTTTAGCTGGCATCGTTTCGTGGCTCTATAGGTACTAACCTCAAATGAACCAGGTCAAAAAGTTGCGATACCATTTCCTCTTGTTCGTAACGAGCTGCGTTTCTAAAACAGGTACACCGCAAGTCAACGAGGTAATCCAAATTGCTTTCCGGATCCAATTCTTCCAACTGCTCGGAGCTACGAGAGTGTTCAAGTCGCCATTGTTAATGAAAATCATCGACATGGAGGACTAAGTTTTGATTGTCGAAGGCTTAGATCCAATGCCCGCATGGAATACCAGTTGTTACTGTGTATGTCCAGTAGTGCTAAAAACTGTCTGAAAAAGCTTCGGAATGTCGCTATTAGTGCTGAAATAGATTTTTTTGAATACCTCAAAAAACACTTTATATAAATTTAAAGACAAAAGCAGAATCCAGAGTTTGGTGAAATTCGAGGCTACACAGGGACAGTATTTTAAAAAGATAGATTTTTTAGCAATTTCATTATCGGTTCCATCTTTTTAAAAATGCCAAAAAAAAACATAGCCAAGAAACCCTAAACAAATTCAAGTCGCTTATTTTAAAGGGAAAGACAACTAAAGACATTGTCCAAGCCACAGGAGTGTCAAGAGCTGAAGTCAGCCGAATGAAGAATCAAGTTTATCCCGAACGCGTAAAACCCATTGGTGGAAGATCCAGTCTTATCCCCAAATGGACAAAGCGAGTTATTTCTTTTAAAGTTCGAAGGGGATACTTGGCAGACGCAAAAGATGTCTAGAAGTACCTGAGCACTATCGGCTTTCAATTAAGCTACTCATCTACGAGATTACTGATGAGATCATTGGATCTTAAATCCATGTACAAGAAAAAAAAGGCACTTATCAAGAAACCTAACAGAAAAAAAAACTCCAGTCGGCAAGAAATTATATCTCTTGGACGTTAGATCATTGGAAGACGGTGGTATATTCAGACGAAACAAAAATAAACAGGTGGGGATCGGACGGAGCACAAATTACTTGGACGCATAAGGATGACCCACTTCAGGTACATAATATCCAAACACGTTTAAAAGGAGCTGGTGGCTCAATCATGGTCTGGGGTTGAATGACATTATTAGGTGTAGGTTATGCATGCCATATTGTTGAATATCCCATGTATCCGGAATTATATACGCATATCGTAGCTATAACATATAGGAATACACTTGAATACTACGGTCTAAATAACCAAGACGTAATCTTTCAGCAAAATGGAGATCCAAAACACATATCCAAGTTTACTCAAAATTGGTTGAAAAGTAACAAGGTAAACTAAATGCAAGACTGGTCACCTAACAGTCCGGATTTAAACCCGATTAACATCTTTGGCACCATGTCAAGAGCAAAATAGACCGTTATCAGAAGAATCCAAGAAATATCGATGGATTACGGGATCGTTTTGACAAAGACTAGAACAGTTTTACTCCAGATGATATGCAATGGTATTACGAAAGTATTCCCAAAAGAATTGAAGCCGTCACCAAGGCAAAAGGAGGATATACGAAGTTTTAAACGCTCCCCATAAATATTTTTTAAAGCCCAAATTATATTTCGTTCTTTCATTTCAAGTTTTCGAAAACAGTGTTAAGACACTGGTAATAGTTCTTAAAGGATAAGGTGGATATAGATTATTAACACTGATGTTAATAATAAAGTAGTTATGAAAGTGAGCACCAGACTGGAAGTAGTCAACTTAAGAAATCTTATAATATAAAGTTTTTAGGATAAGAAGATAATCAACGATGATTTTAAGAGGACGTTAGTAATATAAATATAAACTGATTGCCAAGATTAAAAAGAAAAGTAATTATGTTATTATAAACAATATCTTATATACGGTTTTAATAATAAAGAGATTTGAGTCGAGTGTGAAATATGAACTTCGAGTCAATTGTTATATGAAAAGTATAGACTTAAGATAAACAAGAAGTATGAAAGTTGAGGGAAACACAAAGGAGTCAATTACAAATTATTAAGAAACTAGATTTTTAGTCAAAATAAAACTGAAGAAATATTTATTGAGAAAAAAAAGGGACGTCTTTATAGAAAAGATCCTATCCAGTGTAACACCAAGTCAATTTAGATTGGCTGCAACAACAGTACGGTCTAAAATATTAATAAAACCTAAAAAAACTCACTTTTCTGTTTTGTCTAAAAGTTTGAAGCGCTTGATGTCAATTTAGCGACAATTGTAGGATTTTTGGTTTTTGTGAGACAGTTTTTTGTACTACTGTATTTCTGCAGTCGGACAGAGGTTGCAATACAACATTCTCCATTTTTTTTACTAGCTTCAGGGTTTCAGACAAGGCGTATAGAGATACTCTTCTTATAACTCTCGTCACTATTCTTCGCTTCTCAACTTCGGTAATGTCCTTGAGCCTCTGATCCTCCGAACGAGCTTTGAATTCGCTAGCGTCAACTTCAACCATGCTCTTTATCAAATTAGCAACCTTGTCCGAATAACCGGTAGACACCTTCAGTTTTTGTTTCAACTTGTTATGAGCACCCTCAACTCTGGATTTATTGACGGCGCCAAGGTAAAGGTGCTTATTCATTCAAGGGTTGGCAAAAAAAATTTTCAACGGCAACCTTGTTGACTCAAGATACGCAAACAGTGGCAGGTATCTTGCGTTGGACTCGTAATTATCTTTCAGGACACTCCAATATCGCTCCCTTTCTTCTTCATTGAAACTGTTCATACATCTATTCCATCTAACCATAAAATCGTTCCAGTCATCATCTGTTAAAAAATATTTTTTCCATTTGGCCAACACATTCTTATTGATATGCCAGCGGCAGATAAGAATTGTGCTGAAATCAAAAATCGTCTCTGAAGCATCTTTTAATTCCAAATCGCAATCAATAGCATTAATACTAGGATCGAATGGCTCTACATAGCACCAAAACAACTTCATACGTAATGTTGACACCGCCCATTTATAATTGGCTTGGGTTTCGTCTTTTAAAAAAACACCCCACACAAATAATGTCTTATTGAAGTAATCAATGCCAACAACGTGCAACAATGGCATACCAAATTTGTTGGTTTTGTATCTGCAATCCATCAAAAGCACTTGAGGGAAGCGTTCAACCATTTCCAAGGAATGAGAGTCCGCAAAAAAAAGGTTTTTGATGGTACCGCCCTCATTCGAGTTGTACGCGTAAATAAATCCACAGTCGGCTTCAGAGAACTGATCCAATAGAGCTTGCAAAGGAGAGTGACCATATAAATACTCTTTACGAACCTTCTGTCTGGCATTGTAAACCGTACTAGATCTGAATTAATCACCAGAAAATTGCTGGTGAAGGTAAATCAAGATATCTTGAGGTGAGCTATTATCAATGTCATATCCGTGATTACCTTCATGTGATCCTCTCCGATCTTGCATGCAATGGAATGACCAGCGAGAGTATCGACAGACTCATGATTATGTCCACTATGGTTTAAGTGCAGACTGAACTTTTCAGCATAAACACCCTGCTCTTTTCGCCAGCTGGAACCGACCACCCACTTAAAACGGCAATCGGTCCGTCTTATCTTCGAAAGTCTTTTAACGGTGGACTTACTGCTGTTTTTTCCACCGCAATCGCACTTGAACTCCAAAGACTTAAGGCGATGATCGGGGTAGTAACGAGAACGACCCAAAGAAACAAGGTAGCCGTTCTCTTTGCAGTGATCGATCACATACTTTTCGGGAGTTTTACTAGAGCTAGACTCAAGTTGAGAAGGGGCAGAAGTAGACGAAACTTCCAAGGTTTCGTCCTCGAGTTTGTCGTCAAGGTCCTTGTCGAAATCATCGTTAAAATCATCTACATCGTTGACGCTTTCAAAATTTCTTCTGGTTCGAAAGGGCAGGGGCTTCTGAAAATCATCGTCAGAAAGGTAAGAGGTGTTTTCGTTTGATAAAGGCATTGAAACAATAAAAAGTTCCGATAAACGTAACGGGATTGGGATGAAAGTAAACAGGTACAATTTATTAATGATTTGACAGAGCATACCGGCAAAAATGTCAAAATTTAAGTGAAATCAAATCCGCAGTTTCATAAGTCAAAAAAGGCGAAAAAAACGAAGGGGGTGAAAATAACAATTCCCATAAAAAAAAAAGCCTCAACGTCCACACGGTTTTTTTTTTTGCGAAGTCCATTTGAAACGCCGTTCACGTCAGACAAAAATGATTTGCGGGTGGTCGGAACGCTTGGCGGCGTAAACACAATCACAATGATGCACAAATATGCCTTAATGAGAAGCCTTGGGGGAACGCCATGCATCCTTTTTTTTTCGATAAAAATAACCTTCAATGGATTTCATTTATTTTAAGGATTATCATTGGCCCCTCTCAAGCTCACAAAAAAAATTTAATCGTCCAAATTTGGAACATATTTTTTTCTTGGCCGTTCCCAAGCAAAACTTTTTTCACGTTTTGGGAACAAAAGTATTTCGCTCAAAATAGTAATTTAAACTTTAAAAAAAATTTTTACCAGCCAAAATTTATGGGGGGGTTGG